TGTGTACACATATACCTAGACACAGAGCCAGTGTCTGATGATCCCGCGAAGTGAAAACGTTCTCTTTCCTTAGCTGAACTTCCAGGAGTTCCTGTGTTGTCTGGAACTATCCTCAGAAACAATTATAGGTCTGTCTCAGAAAATTCAGGAAGGGTGGTGGCCTTTCCTTTCCTTTTTCCCTCCACGTGTCAGTGTGATATGTGTGTGTGTGCCTATGCGTGTGTGTATGTGTGTGTGTGCGTGCTTGCCCATATACAAGTCCATGCTCGCCTCCCTTTCCTGATTTGATTTTCTTTTCCCAGTTGATTTCTTTGCTGGTCAGAGCAAGCAGTTGGCAGACACTTATTTATCGGTCTCATGCTTTCAGCCAAGAAAAGACAGGAGAATTTAGGAAAACCCAAGACTCATGTTTTACATTTTGTGTAGGATGCTTTCATTGCCTCAGAGACACAGATTCACCCCTTTGGGAATTCCTTTACTCTTAGTTCTTATTTCTGTCCCATTTTGAGCTCTCCTGTCTGCTGTTGGGTAGGTGGAAAGATAAAAGCATCGTGACAGCTGGTAATCCCCTTTAGGCCGCACAGTGGGATGTAGTTAAGGAAGCTTAGCGATAAGAAGCAGATTAGTCCTTTGCGAAAAGAAGGGATTGGAACTCTTCAAAGCTTCTGCAAAAGCTTCAGTGTGGGCAGGTGTCCCCAACATGATGGCGTCCCTGAATATGGGGAGGTTGTGGATTGGAGGAGGTGAGCTGAGCTCCCAGGTGATAAGCTGCTGGGGACCCACAGGTTGGCTCTCACCTGAGCGGATTCATCTGTCTGGTAAACCAGGAAATGGCACACCCAGGGAGGATGGATGATTCATCTCTTAAGGGAAGACTCACATAAACTCACACATGCAACATACACAGTGGTCAGTGGTCACAGACACTCACACATGCACAAACACATACACAAGCACACATTATTTCAATGCCAGTTTATTAATGTGTTCTCAAATATTTGTATTCTTTCTCCAAAGACAAGCTAGGTTATAATTTAAAAACCTGTTTATAGCTGGAAGTGGTGGTGGCTCACACCTATAATCCCAGCTCTTTGGGAGGCTGGAAGGCGGCTCACTTGAGCCCATGAGTTTGAGATCAGCCTGGGCAACATGGCAAAACCCCATCTCTACAAAAAATACAAAGATTAGCCTGGCATGGTGGCACGCATCTGTAGTTCCAGCTAGGTGGGAGGCCGAGGTGGGAGGATGAGTTGAGCTTGGGAAGTCAAGGCTGCACGGAGCCGAAACCATGCCAGCCTGTGTGGCAGAGTGAGACCCGTCTCAAAATACGAAGCAAAAACAAAAACAAAAAATCCGTTTATAAATTTTATATTGGAAAAATAAAACAATCATCTGCAGGCCAATGCATGCTCTATCTAGGGTGGACTCCATAGGTAGTCACATGTACCTGTGGTAGGTCTGAACAATGACAAACCTAGAAGCTGGAAAACTAAGCCTCTTGGGTGCTCATAAGGCATTTTAGAGTGTCTTTACAATAGTCTCTCTAGGCATACTTACCCACTGTAGTAAGATACTATAAGTTTGCCTGTTTGTCTCCTGGAAGTCTCGTGTTGAAATGTGATACCCAGTGTTGGAGGAGGGGCCTAATGGGAGGCATTTGGGTCATGGGAGTGGATCCTATGGGAATAGATTAACGCTCTTCCTGGGGGTAGAGGGGAATGCTCACTTTTTTGGTTCTCTTGAGAGCTGGTTATTAAAAAGATTCTGGCCCCTCCCTGCTTTCTCTTTTTTTGAGACAAAGTATTGCTCTGTTGCCCAGGCTGGAGTGCAGTGGCACCATCTGGGCTCACTGCAACCTCCGTCTCCCGGGTTCAAGCAATTCTCCAGCCTCAGCCTCCCAAGCAGCTAGGACTATGCGCCACCACACCCAGCTAATTTTTGTATTTTTAGTACAGACAGGGTTTCACCATATTGGCCAGGCTGGTCTCAAATTCCTGACCTCACGTTCCACCCATCTCAGCCACCCAAAGTGCTGGGATTACAGGTGTGAACCACTGCATCTGGCCTTTCTTGCATCCTCTCTCATCGTGTGATCTTTGCGCACACCATCCTCCCTTTACCTTCCACCATGGGTAGAAGCAGCATGAAGCCCTCACCAGGAGCAGACACTGGTGCCATGTTTCTCATACAGCCTGCAGAACCTCTTTTCCTTATAAATTACCCAGCTGGGTATATTCCTTTATAGCAGCATGATGTGGTTTGGCTGTGTCCCCACCCACATCTCATCTTGAATTTTAGTTCCCATAATCCCCATATGTCATGGGAGGGAACTGGTAGGTGATAATCGAATCATGGGGAGTAGTTTTTCCCAGGCTATTCTCCCGATAGTGAGTAAGTCTCATAAGATCTGATGGTTTTATAAAGGGCATTTCCTCTGCACACACCCCATTGCCTGCTGCCTTGTAAGATGTGACTTTGCTCCTCCTTCACTTTCTGCTGTTATTGTGAGGCCTCCCCAGCCATGTGGAATTGTGAGTCCATTAAACAGTTTTTTCTTTGTAAATTACCCAATCTCAGGTATGTCTTTATTAGCAGCATGAAAACAGACTAATACACAACACAAAATGGAGTAAGACATAAAGTTTCTTAACTTAGAATCTCTGGCCATGTACCAGGAGTCCAAGAACACCATTAATTTGTAGGGATGTGTACACATGTCTATTTTTCTGCAGAAAGGATCTATAGCTTTCTTGAGATCCTTACTAAACACCCCCCCCCCCCAAAAAAAAACGGAGACACATGAACATGTAGCTCAGCTGGCTCATAACTTGACACATTTGAAATGATATTTTAAAATAGTTTTTCAGCATATCCTGAAGAGGGATGACATGGGGAGGAAGAGGAGATGGCATTCAGCTTTTCACTATTGTCCTAAGAGATGACCCACACATGTTTGCCATTTATCATCATAAAAGCCCTAAAGATACACAGATCTGTCATATGCATCTTTCTATAGTTTGAAGTGGTTCTTAATCAGAGGTGAAATCGTTCTGGAAAAAGAGAAGTAATTCCATTAAAGGAGGCTGAGGTGGTTGGGCAAAGCCTGAAAAAATTGGCTTTTAGAGTTAGATTTATTGACCAAAAACCATATCCTTCAGATGTCCCCAGATTGCATTATTCCTAAAAGCCTATTATGAATGCTGTCAGTGGTACCAGCAGAGGAACAGCATTGTACTTTGTCAGTCAAGAGGGAACATACTTTACATTCTAGGATAAGATGCAAGTCCTTTGCCGAGTCTGTCCTGCAGACCCTGGCTGAGCAGTGGATGAACAGAGTATGGAGTATGCAGACACAGGTATTTTGACTTTGAGTGTGGCTAGGGGACCGCAGGGCTAAGCACTGCAGAAGAGAAAGTGCGGCCCCATAAGCATTTATTTAGTACAGATTAAATGACAAAGGCGTAGAGCAAACACTATTTGAGGGTAATTAACATTGTCGGACCCCCCCCACCCCACCCCCGCCCCAGTAGGGGGAAGTCCTACACGCAGATGATCAAAGGTTGGTTTCTGGAAAACTAGGTAAACAAGCTATCTAGATAAATTCCTTTGCACTCCTGTGTTATCTGCCCTCTGCCATTAGCTCAAGGTAAGGCTGCCTTTAGCCATAACCCTTTCCTGAAGCTTTTGCAAAACCTCCTGGCCTTCCAAGAAGGTTTGTGTCTTTCCTATAATTTTTCCCACCACCCTGGCTGATTTCCTACAGTCGTTCATAAGGTGGGGCCCTTCAATATAGTGGTGCAATATAGTGGTGCTTCCCATTCCTACCCCTCACACCGTGGGACCTCTGCTTCATTTCTTGGATGCCTCATTTGCCTCTGGACCTTGGAGTCTATCTTGGCTTGAATTGAGCATTTAATGCCATTGTTAATCTGGGGATCCGAGTAGTTCTGCTTGCCCTTCATGGGTGAGACATTGGCATACTCCCTACCCTTTCCTCAGCATTCAATTTTGTCCTGTTCCTTTTTACAGTGTCACCACTCCTGTTTCAATAATGACAGATCTTAATGATGATGGCCCTCATAAAGAAAATGACATAGGACTGTAACAATTAAAGATTTGTTGAAACTTAGCTTTAATTTAAAAAAATCTTAGTGTGTCCAAGACTCAGTTTTCCTCTTCTTGCTTAGGAATCTCCAGTGCACAGAAGGTCACATTTTTGGTAGCCATACCACTTTGAAAAGTCACACAGAGTTTTGAGTTAACTATAATTAATCCTTCTAAGTCTTCTTTATACAGTAATTGTCATTCATATTTTTCTCAGCCCCATCTCCTCACTCCACTTCCACCTCTCCAATATTCTTTAGGATTTATGGTTTTTGCTTTTTGTTTTTTTAAAGACGGGTCTCACTCTGTTGCCCAGGCTGGAGTGCAGCGGCATGCTCATTGGCTCCCTGCAACCTCAAATTCCTGGGCTCAAGCAATCCTCCCACCTCAGCCTCCCACATAGCTAGGATGACAGACACAAGCCATCACACTTGGCTGTTATTATTATTGTTGTTGTATGGATAAGGTCTTACCATCTTGCCCAGGCTGGTCTCAAACTCCTGGTCTCAAGTAATACTCCAAAGTCATTTTTATTACATTTCATCTTGTTTAGTCTTATCCTGAGAGATGATCTAGGGTCAAGATGTTGATGTGTTTAAAAAGTACTTACATAAGTATATGGATTAGAAAACCAGAATGGGTTATAACTTTTCTTCCTTTCTTTCATTTTTTTTTTTTTTTGAGACAGAGTTTCTCTCTCTGTTACCCAGGCTGGAGTGCAGTGGTGCGATCTCAGCTCACTGCAACCTCCACCTCCCGGGTTCCAGCAATGCTCCTGCCTCAGCCTCCTGAGTAGCTGAGATTACAGGTGCCTGCCACCACGACTGGCCAATTTTTGTATTTTTAGTAAAGACAGGGCTTCACCATGTTGGCCAGGCTGGTCTTGAACTCCTGACCTCAGGTCATCTGCCCGTCTTGCCCTCCCAAAGTGCTGGCATTACAGGCATGAGCCACTGTACCCAGCCAGAGATCACTAACATTTTGAAGTTAGATAGTTCATTCTTTCAACAACTGTTGAGTTGGTAAGTGTGTCAGTAACTGTGGTGGGTGGAGCATGAGCAAGACAGCTGTGGACTTTTCTCTTGGAGTTTGCTTATGGGCGGGGAGAAAAGCAGGGAGAATAGACAGAAGACCTTGAAGGACAGAAAGTGAGGAAAGGACATTTGAGCTCTTATGAATGAACCACAATGTGGTCTTCTGGAGGGAGAACACTTCAGCTGGAGAGAACAACAAAAGTAAATACCCTAAGGTGAGAACGAGCTTGGACGTGAAAGGAACAGACAGAAGAAGGCTGGTGGAGCAGTGAGGAGAGGGTGGTAGGAGACAAGAGAGAGACGTGCAAGGCTGGGCACGGAGGGCTGGGTGGGTCATAGGAAGGAAGTGGTTTTTGTATTGTGTTTTGGTTTTGTGGTAGGTTGAATGAGGTCCCCCTAAATGTCTGTGTCCCATTCCCAGAGTCTGTGTGACTATGTTAGCTTACATAGTAAAAGGGATACTGCAGCTGTGAGTAAGTGGAGGATCTTGATGTGAGGAGAGGATCTTTTGGGTGGACCAAATGTGGTGATAAAGGTTCTTATAAGAGCCGGGTGGGTGGGGGTATGTCAGGTGAGAATCAGAATCAGAGAAGGTGAGGAAGAGGCCATGAGCCAAGGAATGCAGTCAGCCTGTAGCACATGAGGGTTTAAATTATCCTCTGAAGCCTCCAGAAGGAAAACAGCCCAGCCAACACCCTGATTTTCAACTTCTGAGCTTCAGAACTGTCAGAGAATAAATGTGTGTTGGTCTAAGCTGCTGAATTGAGATAATTTGTTACAGCAATAGGAAAGTAAACAGGTTTCTAATTCTAAAATGCAGCAGAGAGACATTTGGAGGGGAGCAGTGGGATCATATTTAGTTTTAGCAGAGTGGGTTGTTGAGAGGCAGGAGGGGGAGAGGGAGGCCAGTTGGGAGGCAGAGACTGTCACCACAGGGGACACATAACCGAGGTCTGGATTAAGGAGTTGGCAGTGGAATGAAGAGGGACGAACAGATTTTGGATACAGAGCCGATAGAATTGCTGATGGCTTGGTCGTGGGGATACAGAAAATAGTAAATCAAGGGTGATGCTGAATTTGGGCTTATGCAATTGAGTGCCATTTATTGAGATGGAGGAAGATGGAAAAGGAAAAGATTTAGGGGGAAAGTTATGCATTCTGTTTGGGCCAAGTTGAAACTTAAGATGCCCATTAGATGTCGATGTCTGTGAATAAGCAGATGCATGTGTCAGTGGAGGTCTCATTAGAGAGATCATCCACTTCCCCTCACTGTGTTTGTCCCCACACAGGATTTCTCTAGTGCCACCGTCACTGACAAACTATCTGGCTGACTATACTTGATCTGGTGTGGCATCTCATTCTTTTGTTCTTATCTTTTATCTTGGGCTCATATTTCATTACCTACTCAGTGTGGGCTGAATGAACAATTAACAGAGTCTGAAATGCGAAGTAGGATGTTTGATAACTAAAGAGTGTGAAGGAAACAATGTAGATTAATTTGTGTCCCAAATGTGTGGTATTATTTAGTGCTTTTTGAGAAAGCTAAATGGATTCTGTGAATTTTAATTGATGTTTAACTTTTAATTGTGTTCATGTGGGGTGGCCAGTTGGAACTATGCCTAATAAGACTGATGAGTGTACACACATTTGCATATGGCAGGCCTTCCAAGGGACAGCCAGGGAGAGAGAGGCTTAAAGTAAAAGGAGGAAAACTGCAGGGAATGGATAATAAGCTAAAGCACATTTATTTTCAGAAAAAAATGTGAAAAATTATCAAATACTTTTCTATTCATTTTAAATAATATAGGTTTACTATAATATTATTCCTCTCGTTGGTGTTTTTCTATTTTTGATCTGTTTTATTTTTAAGAAAAAATGATAAGAGGAGCTAGTTTATTTACAATGAAAGGAATTCTGATTTGCATAAATTCATGGTTCAGATTGTTAGCCAGATCTGCAAACTGTTGTTTACTGCACATCTATTCTCCGTGAAGTACTTTGCTAAATGCCAGAGGGGGTGCTACAGTAATTAGGATGCTTTTGGGCCAACTCATTGGCTTAAGCAATAAGGAAGTGTATTGTCTTCCCTAAGAAGTGGGGCTGTCTCCAGGCCCAGTATGCCAAGCTGCTGCTCTCCTCTGTGACTCTCATGGCCCTGCCCCCTTACAATGATGGCTTCATCTTTAGATCAGGAGCAAGATGGCTGTAGCAATCCTAGCTATCACATTCAGATTTGGTAACATCCAAAGGGAAAAAAGGCATCGTCTCTTCCTTGTGTGTCTTACATGTGAAATAATCTCTCCCGGAAGCCCCCACTTAGATTTTTCTCACATCCCTTTCACCAGATTGGATCATAAGTCCATTTGTAAACCAGTCACTGGCTGAGGTAGTTGCCATTGTTGGCTTAGATCGGAGTAGGCAAACTACAGCTAGCTGCCTGTTTTTATAAATAAAGTTTTATTGGCACATCCCATGCACACCCATTCATATATTATCTTTTGCATTGCAGTGGCAGAGTTGAGTAGTGTGGCAGAGACTGGCCCACAAAGCCTAAAATATTTACTGTGTGCCACTTTATAAAACAAGGGCCAGTCTTTGGCTTTAATCATTTGGGATGTGTTGAAAAGGCAAGCACAGTGGCCACTGTAGACACAAAAGAGGTATAAAATGTGATCTTATTCCTCAAAGAGATTACGGAGGGAAATTTTATATATAATAGAGATGGGGCCTCACCCTGTTGCCCAGGCTGGAGTGCAGTGGTGCAATAGTACCCCCACTGTAACCTTGAACTCCTAGCCTCAGGTGGTCCTCCCACCTTGGACTCCCAAAGTGCTGGGATTACAGGTGTGAGCCACCATGCCTGGCCCAGAAATGGTATTTTACGGCATTAAATAGCTACAAATGCTCATTATAGTTTAATATCCCAAAAAAAGATATTCCATACACATTTATAATTGGAAACTATGGAGGAAATGGTGTAGATTAATTTGTATCCCAAATGTATGCTGTTATTTATTCCATTTTACTACAAAGTAGAAAAAAAAGCAAACCACTCTACCCACTTACCAAGCTACATTTCAAAGAAATTATGAAAATGAACATCAGATAAAGACAACCTAAGGACATGAAAGCATTTTTAAAATTCTAGGAAAAATGGAGTAATATTTAAAAAGACATTTGTATGCAGATTAAGAAACCCTACTGAAAAGGAATAGAAAGTGGTAATGTTACAAGTAGCCCAGTAAAGGCACAGCCTTTCAACTCTAATTTTCCATCTTTTTTTTCCTTCATGGAAATTGATCTAAAAACCAATAGGAGTAAAGTGAGCAGTGTTTACAAGAGTAATGAATAGGCAACATGGGGAATCTTTGTAGAGTTAGAACTGTTGAGTATCTTGACTATATTCACAATTATAAATGAGTGATAAAATTATATAGAGGTTTACATACACAAACAAGTACAGGTATAACAGGAAATCTGAGTAAGATGGGGGAATTATATCAAATGTCAGTTTCATGGTTGTATCACTATGCTATAGTTTTGCAAAAACAATTGAGGGAAATAGGGTAAAATCTACAAGGGATCACTATATTATGTTTTACAACTCCATGTGAATCTTTAGTTATCTCAGTAAAATTTTCAGTTAAAAACAAATGAATTAAAAGAACATTGAAACACTGGATAGGTGGAAAGATGGAAAGAAAACCCAGTCTGATTACATCCCATGTGTAAAGGAACTGACCTTAGAGCAACTGTCAGTACTTTTTTTTTAAAAAATGAGGTCTCATCATGTTGCTCAAGCCGGTCTCAAACTCCTGGCCTCAAGCCATCCTCCCATCTCTGCCTTACAGAGTGCTGGGATTACAGGCATGAGCCACCACACGTGGCCCTATTAGTAAATTTGGAAATGTTACAGAGAATAGGAGCTATGCCAAAAAATGAGAAAATGCAGAGTGTTGTTTGACTTTTTCACAAATGGTCTTTGACATTTCATTTAAACCCTGACAAGTTTATAATAGATTCTCAAATAGATGTCAGCAGTTGGAGAAGAATAAAGAGATTACCAGGAACCCATAAGGGTTCACTAAGAACACTCATTCTGGTAACCAGGCTCAGGCAACAATATCTAGATAGTGAATATCAATTTCAACAAAGCAGTCACAAAACCCCTTATTAAAATATTGAAAGTAAGATTGTATAGTTATTTGGAGATAGCCAAGTGGATGATTTTTGCCAGAAAATGTTGATTCTGTTGGTTTTAGACCAAACTAAAGTAATGTCTATAATAAAGAGCCATCTTATTAGTAACTTGTATAAAAGCAAAGAAGACTTTATCAAAAAAATTTGCAGCTGAGCTGGGCATGATAGCTGACGTCTGCAATCCCAGCACTTTGGGAGGCTAAGGTGGGTGGATCACTTGGGCCCAGGAGTTCAAGGCCAGTCTGGGCAACATGGTGAAACACTGTCTCTACTAAAAATACAAAAAAATTAGCATAGCATTGTGGCATGCGCCTGTATTTCTAGCTACCTGAAAGGCTAAGGTGAGAGGATCACCTGAGCCCAGGAGGTCAAACTAATTGCTGCAGTGAGCCATGATTGTGCCACTGCACTCCAGCCTGGGCGACAGAGTGAGACCCCATCTCAAAAACTAACAAACAACAAAACAAACAAAAAACCAAAAACAACCCCAAAATGCAGCTGATAAAAACATCTCGGAAGGATACCTCATTATGATAAATGGCAGTTTCAGATTCTATAGACGTGCTGACATAATGGGCACAAACTAATAAAGCTAAATTAAAAAGCAAAAATTGTGAAGTCCTACATTTAAGTTTCAAAGAGTGATCATAACTGTGCAAGATGAAATAGAAGCAGCTTTATGCCACTTCATAGGGAAAGAAGAAATCAGAGGGATTTAATTGGTGCTGTAATTGGTTAGGCCGTGCCACATAGCACGCAAACAACTGGGAGTAAACCAGGACTGACTACGGGCAGAATCTGGGGGAAAGGATAGATTGAGAGAGGAGGATATGATGGGGGTAGGAGGGAAAAGAATAAAGAGATCCACCTTCGCCTCACAGAGTGCTGGGACAGTGGCTAGAAGGAATTGCACCCAAGGGACTGACTGACCTGGGGACTGGATTTTGAAGCATCCAGGTTATATTGACACCATTCCTTCAAAATGAAGAAAATATCAGGAGCAACAGAGAAGGGCTGGTAGGAACTAGGTAGAGATTTGAGGTTGAATTCTAATCCCCCCTGGAAATTGAGGAGAGCCCAAGTCCCAGGGCTCTGGGAAGAAGAGGTGAGCACTCCAGTAAAACCAGGAATGGTCTACACTGGGGAATGTGTATCAGGGTCAAGGTGCATGCCACCATGGCTGGCTAATTTTTTTTTTTTAATGTTTTTTTAATAGAGAATGGATCTTGCTGTATTGCCCAGGCTGGTCTCAAACTCCTGGCCTCAAGTAATCCTCCCATCTAAGCCTCCCAAAGTGCTGAGATTTCGGGTATGAGCCATTGTGCATGGCCTGAAACTTTGTACCTTTTGTTCAACATCTTCCCTTTCCCCATCCCACTCCCTGTCCCCACCCCCAGCCTCTGGTAACTACCGTTTTACTTTCTACTTCTGTGAATTTGACTTTTCAAATTATATGATTCTTTGATTCTATTACAGGGAAAGACACAATGACAAATATTTGATCAATGAATGCTGCTTGTTTGCATAACCAACCAAGGGATTCAAACATGTATGTAAATATGGACTCTTTTTTAATCCAGGTGGAGTGACATGGAGAGTCTATAAATTTGTTTTTCTTGGTGTTGTAGTTTGGGAAGCATCACTGGCTATCTGCTTTAAAATTTAAAGCTATTTTATGTTAATCTCAACAAGTGTGTATAGTCCCTACCAAGTGTGAGGCATTATCCTGTACTCTGACAATTGGAAACCTTCTCTCCCTAACTTCTACCTATTGAAAATTAATCTCAGCACTGAAACCACCTTCCATATTTAACAAGGGCATCACAGCACAACAAATGTAAACAGTGATGACGGTGGACATTCATCTGTTGCTCCCAACATAAGTTCTCCCTTCTGTCTTCCTAACAGCCCCCATTTCCATTCTTAGCTAGGGTGGAACCAAGACACAGTTGCAGATCTGTGTGTTGCCTCAGATGGATTTGTGATGACATTTTACACTGCCATCGGTCTTACTGTGCTAGTGATAGTTCACTAGCTTCACAAAGTCACCTCTTAAGCAAGTTTTATATATTGATGGACTCTTGTTCAGTTGCTTTTTGGGATACAGAGGAATGTCCTCTAATGACTGCTGTATCTCTTACCATGGGTTGTTTTTTTATTTTTTCATCAATGAAGGAACTCAGTGCTGTGCTGTCAGCCATTTAATTTTTCTTTCCTTCCTTATTAAAAAAAAAAAACGATTCATGATCAATTTCAAATTGATATACAAAATTCTAAATGTAACAAATTATTTTTTTAAAAAACCCAGTAAGATAGAAGGAGAACCTGTAGATTGAGAGACTTAAAGGACATATTAGCCAATCACTATATGTGGTCCTTATTTGAATTTTGGACATATTAGCCAATCACTATATATGCTCCTTATTTGAATTTTGGACATATTAGCCAATCACTATATATGCTCCTTATTTGAATCCTGATTCAAACAACTGTAAAACAAAACAAATTTTAAACTAAATTTGGCCTGAGACTACCTCCATACCATGAGTCCCTCCTTAATAATTTAACCTAACTTAGTAGGTAAACAAACTTGAAAGCCTAGTTTAGGAATACATTTTGTAACAAGGAGCTGGGTGTCAGCCAGTTACAGGCTGTTAACTGATCAGACCATGTCCAAATAAGGCAGCTGCTGAGCTGCCACCTCTCCAGCTATTTTTGTGCCTCACTTCTGTTTTTCGTCTATAAATACTCCTTGCCCAGTCATGGAGTAGAGCTCTCTGAACCTCTTCTGCTTCAAAGTGCTGCCAGATTCATGAATTGTTCTTTGCTCAATTAAAGTCCTTTAAATTTAATTTGTATAAAGTTTTTCTTTTTACATAAAAACATTTTTGAGACAATGGAAATTTAAGCACTGGATATTTGAAGTATTGTTATCATTTATATATTTTAGGTATAATGATGGGATTATTTTTATGGTTCTTTTTTTAAAGTTTCCTTGTTTTTTAACAATACATACTGAAATATTTAAGGGTGAAGTAATGTCTGGGATTTGCTCCAAAACAATACAGAAGGAAGGAAGTGAGTAGTGGTATAGATGAAACAGAACTAGTCATGAATTGATCATTGCTGAAACTGAGTGCATGAGTACATCAGGGTTCATTAAACTAATCTGTTTACTTTTCCTGTAATAAAAAATTACATAAAATTTAAAGACTCCCCATCACTTTCCAGTGGTAATCAGTTTTAACACTTTGATACCTGTTTTCAGGAAACTTCCAATGTATAAATTACAGAAAGGGGATAGTGGAAAGGGTTTGGTTTTGATTTTACTTAATTAATTGGACTCACTAATACCTATTCTCTACAACTTTTCTTTCTTTTGGGGAAGGGAGCTTGCTATGTCATGGACATTTTGCCATTT